AAAAGGTAATTGACCACCTTATAAAGCTGATAGCTCTGAGTCGAATGAGTGTAAGCCGTGTGTGGGAAAACGGAGAAAAATGATTCACAAAGGGACAAGAGTGACGAATCAGTGTGACCGCACGAGAGAGTGCAACTAACTTAATTGCTGGGAGTCACGGTAGCTTCGGAGCCGTCCCACCGTCCTTCAAAGTACAAATCATTCATTTGAATAGGGTGAAACTGGACGTACATGCTCGGCCGGTGGCCGAGTGGTCTACACGTTTGCTTTGCAATCATAAGGTCACCGGTTCGAATCCGCGTAGGGGTGGGCGTCCTCACGGTATACTCAGCCCGCGTGCGACTGGTGGTGGTCGCGCGACAGCGAAGCGCCGTTACGGCGTACAGCTGACACATGGTTGGCGGCATCCGGTTTCGGATTTGCCTGTCACTGTGGCAAGCCACAGGACGCCTGCGCCTACAGAGGGACCATGGATGGCTTGCGTTGCACCACCCACAGCTCCAACCACATACCCCATATCCAGTGTAAACCCGAAGGAATAAGACCGGGAGGCATGCGGATGGGAACCACGTTTCATCAACGGAGCCGGCCCACACTCCTTCACAGGCAAACACAAGCACGCTGTATTTAGGGAATCAACCGCACACAAGGCGGTGGCTGGACCGTAGTCCGCTCCACATTGAGTGCATGGAACCGCTCTTTGAGCCTAGCACGGCCACAAGAACCGTGCACCCCGTCCCCTCCAGCAACGACCAACTGTCTCCTGGAGCCAGTATGAACGATGTAGTGGGTAATAGACAGGTAGGCACCTTGTCAACATGCACATCAAGCGCAACCATACCAGGGATATCAAACAACAACCATTCAATTTAAACGACAAGCTGAAATAAAATAAATCCAATAATGCATACAGATACGGTGGCATAACTCTTCGCTAAATTACCATATGAAGTAAGTTGGTCAGCAACAAATCCGTGATAAGTAAGAAATGTCCACAAGTTACTTAAAATGCTACAAACGCAACAAAATTACCGAAGATAAGCGCAATTAGTGTAAGCAAGGTGGCCAGTTAATAGAACATTATTCAGGGAGGCAGAACAAACCAAATAAAGCGGAATGAAATTTATCCAGCTTAAAAAGACCTAGTTTAAGTGTAAGTTGGTTTAGCCCAACTGCGGTGAAGAAGCATCAAGAATGCAACATTGCTTGGCCCGTTGTCCGTTCCACATTGGATGGAACCACTTTGAGCATAGCACGGTCACGAAGACCTGCACCCCGTCTCCCCCAGCAACGATATGTAGTCTCTTGGAGCCAGTTGTCGAGTTGGCGGTATTCGACAGATAGGCACCTTATCTACATTCGCATCAGGCGCATCCAGATTGGGGATGTCGTTTAGCAAATACTCAAAGTGCGACATCTGCCGCATTATTGGTTTGGATTAGTAAATAGAGCCGGAAGTACCGTATTTACTATGCGCCACTGCTTACCTATTCGACTTAGTGGTCACATCGATATTGGCCCCTCGCGGCCACGTTGACGGCTCGGCTGAGGCATACACACAACTGCATATCCTACAGCACGAAGTGCATGAACTCAACGCACCTGGCTCCCTCAACATCTGACGTTTGCATAACCAGTGTGTTCCTTACTGATGCACCCGGATAACGGCATTGCTGTAATCACGTCATTGGCGTCGATGCACTACCATTTGCTTCTAACACAGTCGTCGCTCACTCAGTGCTCCCACCAGATATGAGCCAAATTGTGAAGGCACCGGGGGCTCCCTGTCTATCCGTCAACTTTAGAAAAATAACATACCGCTATTGCTGGACACTTTTATGTGAGTGACTGTCACACTGTTCGACTCAGTCAGTGGATCCATTCTGTTCGAAATACTTGTGTGTATAGGTGTAAACATTTTAGCTGCCTCGTATTCGAACACCACAGGCTGCGTCTGGTGGACTTGCCTTTCCCGAAAACAAATGGCGTTCGTCAGGGCTTGCCAATTTTCCCATCTTTCTTCATCTTTTTCGCGGACTTCAGAATCACAATGCAGGTGTTCTGGTGCTGCCTGCTGGAAAGCTAGTTGATCTCGAAAGGCGGACGATCTTGTCTTAGCCATGTTGGAGCGACCCAGTCAACCCTGAATACCCACTCTTGTGTGGTCCCCTAATTTAGCATGCCCTTCCCACCTTCAAGGTGCAAGCTGATGTTACAAGACCACCAGTCACTTGATGACACCTTGACAGCAAGGAACTCGAGTCAGTTGCTCTCTTCACCCACTTTGGCAGCTGCATTAACAAGGATGTGTGCAGAACTTTTTATGCAGTTCACGTATTGCAACTAATAGAACGTCTTTTTGAAACTCTGCAATCTATGGTGTCAGAAAGGGGTTTTCCTCCATCTGAAAGGCCCTTTTTGCAACACCGCAGTGAGAGCCGTCTTATTCTATGAGAGCGAGATTTGGTCTCTTCTTTTTGAGAATTTGAGGCGCCTTCAAGTCTTTGATCATTGCTGTCTGCAAGTCATTGCTGGTGCCTAACGGCACCAGCGTACGCACGACAATGGTGTGCGTATGCGAGTACTGGGCCGTGATAACCAAACCAGTTCTTTAGAAGAACTGAGCACAGAATAAGTTGCGTTGGCTTGAGCACGTACTACTTGTACTCGGTCACCACTTACCCATGAGGGCTTTGTTTTATCTGCCAAGTGTATAATGGCGCAAGGCTCGTGTTGAACAAAAGTTGACTTGACAGCGGGAAATGAAGTTACTGACGACCAAACTGGATGCCATCGGTCCGTCTCGCTTTCCAGACTGTATTCCCTGTGACCCACCTTGTTCTTGGCTGGCGGTCGACACCGTCTGCCGTCGTCTTATAGTCGGGCTGTCTGTTTAAAATGTGTTTGGTGCTAATTTGTCTGCAGAGTAGTGACTGGTTATGACACGATGCAGTGAAAGCCGCAAGGAAGCTGTCTCGCTGGTGCCGGCTTTACACGATGGTCTCCAGCTGCTTGTGGCGGTAATTTCTTGACACAAGGTGTAGGTGCCTTGATCTTAAATGCTTTCGGGCATTATGGCGGTCAGACTTTCCAGAAGCCAAATCATTTAACCCCTATCTTAAGCGTGTCTCGGTTTTCCAGCGTACATAACACCCCGCTTCACGCTTTATTTCAGTCTTTTCCCTCATAAGTCGTTTCACTGTTTCAAAGAATCTGTTCTGTTCACTACCTACGGCATTTACTCTCTTGACTACTATTCAACTCTGCATATTCCCCCAGCGCAGCGGACGGTAGCTACGGTATCAGCAGTAGCTGATCAGCGGTTTCATTACATTTAATGTATTCTCCCATCAGCGTTCTCATGAGTTATTTTTCCACTTCCTCAGCACAACTATCTAGTGCAGTTCTGGAAAAAATGAAGTTCACTGTGATTATCTCATTTCTGTGCAATTTCTATGGTAGACCTCATCAGTGTATCTTTCCTTTGTATCTCACTATACCGGTATTCACATTGCGTCTGGGATAAGCTCTGTTGATCTCGACTATGCGGCGACGTCGTTTTGCTGCTCAACAATCCCGATTGTGCCTAACAAGTTTCTGATAAGCCTTACGTTATATCCCCGTTATTGGTTTTACTTCACATTGCTGTTGCAGTAATACCGGTTTCGAAATTCTGATCTTGATTAGCTAAAAACTAACGTTAGCCGACCAGTTCTCCATCGCTGATAGACACTTCGGTAATGACATGAGTTTAACTGACGATATGAGCCCATCCACTGCGAACGTTGCAGCAACCTCCGTGAATCTGCAACACCTAAAACTACGCATGATTTCATTACGAAAGTCGTCCTTCTCCACTGCATTGATCTTTGACCTCTCCTTCCTGTGGATCATAGACATCATCAGCTCTTCGTTGCTCACGAAGCATTTCTCGTGTGCACTTGAGCGCTAGACCGCGCTCGTCGTCTGTTCGTCGGATCGGTACTGCGTGGTTGATTTTCGTTTCTAGGTCACTGAGAATGAACTAGTTTTGCTTACATGATGTCTTTATGAGAAACGCACGAGTTCGACCCCCTCCCCCAGTTTCTTTAATTATTATTATCGGTTTGTCTTGTCTTCCGGGCTACGGTACTCAAAACACTACTGGATTTGACATGCGATCGACACTGGTGGTGGGTTTTGCTGTCCTTTTTGATTATATTTATGTGAGATATATGGGGAGCTAAACTGATTACAGACGGGAAATAGTGAAGTCTCAAAGAATATGTATCGACACTTCTACGTCATCCCCACACCATGCCCAGTCACAAAAAAGTAACCGTTTTGTTACGTCGTAGCTCTGTTAGGTTCGCCTTTGTCTTCCCTTAATTTTTGTTTGTGTTGCTGCGGATTACCGGTACAGAGTACCAGGAACCTAGTTAAGCAGTCATTTTGAAGTATACGTGTGGATGGATTGCGACGCGTAATCTCAGCATGGACCACGATTCCGATTAAAGTGAACCTTGGCCAATTTGATCACTGGGACCGTAACTGGTGAAGCGGATAAATATTGGGTATTGCTCGTTCATAACGCTGCACCCCATGACCGGTTTGACTTCATCAGATAAAGATAGTTGGCATCGAACGATTGTGTTATTACAAAGTTGACCGCTTTGATGCTTACCTATATATTGAAGTAGTTATGTCTGCACACTTATTGTCTAGCCATTCCTCACTTCTATCTGGGTTCCAACACTGGCTTCTAGAGGTGCTTGCGATCAATTGCTGTATCGCCATTTGTGTGTGTGTGTGTGTCGTATCTGGACAATTTTTGACCGGCATCCCAGGATCAACAGTTTATTTTGGTTACCCGGCGACCTCGTTTCAAGCTAGTAACTTGGTAGTCTGCTTTATTGCGCTTCCCACTTTAACAGTTGCTGGTTTTGAATAATCTTTTGAAATGCCTTGTTTTCTATGCGATCATATTGTCCATATTCTTCCCATTTTCTCTCTTCTCTTCAGTCTTGGCCGCTTGCTCCATCGCCAATATTGTTAAGTCCAGTCTGGGGCCCGTTGGACTAGACAAAATGCTGGTGGATGATGTCGGCGACGTCACCATCACTAATGATGGTGCTACCATATTGAAACTGCTGGATGTGGAGCACCCTGCAGCTAAAATTCTTGTCCAACTGGCTCAGCTACAGGATGAAGAGGTTGGCGATGGAACTACCTCCGTTGTGATTCTAGCAGCTGCCCTTCTGAAAGGCGCCGACGATCTGATTTCGCGATTCGTTCATCCAACTACCATCATCAATGGCTATCGGTTGGCTTGTCGAGAGTCATGCAAATACATTCAGGAGCATTTAAAGTTCGACGTAAACAAATTGGGCAAACCAGGATTGATAAACGTTGCTCGCACTGCTATGTCCAGCAAGTTGATCAACCTGTACGTTTTTCCCCTTTTTCACGACATGATTCACAATTTACACCTTGTGCTTGAAGTCTTTATTTTACTCCACATTCAGGGATGCGGAAATGTTCGCCGAAATGGTTGTTGACGCTGTGTCTTCTATTGGCGTTTCCGGCCCAAAGGGGATGACCTATCCTGTCAAATCGATTAACGTGTTAAAGGCTCATGGAAAATCCATGTCAGAAAGTGTGCTCATAAAGGGCTACGCGCTCAATTGCACAGTTGCTAGTCAGCAAATGCCCCTCAGCCTGAAGAACCCAAAAATAGCATTCCTCGACTTTAGCCTGCAAAAGATAAAGATGAAATTGGGTGTTCAGGTTGGTTCCCACTTTATATTTGAGCTTGTTTTACCTCGTAATTGCAATTTGATGCATTGCCTACATTCACGGATCATCTCGTTAAACTTTATCACCTCAGCCTTCTCTACTTTGACCTCGATGACACGAAACGCGCTTTCCGGGACATTTGTTGTCTGTCATGCTTTTTTATTTGTTATCTAAACTGTTCTTACTCCCTGCACCTCTCTCGCAACTCGAATCTCAGACTTCATAGTTAAGATGGCAGCCGTTTACTTTCAGTGAAAAATGTGCTTGCTACATGAACGGTCACAGCGCTTTTATCTAGCGCGTTGGTCGGCTAGAAATGACTTGTGATACTTCGTTCAGCCAGTGGTTCACCTTGATTTATCACATTTTTCCATCTGGTCGAGTCCAAGCCGCATTCGTCCTGCCTTTTTGGAGCTATCTCTTCTTATTACTACCTGGTCGATTATGGCTTTAATTGTTTTCGTTTGTTCTTGATCAACTTGGCTTTATTACAAGCATAGGCTATGTCCTGACTGCCACACTCTCCACTACGTCTCCGTTCAGTCGTAGGCAAGCATTCTTCATAGTTTTTTGGTATTGTGGTTCGATTGTGTTCATGGGCACACTTCCAACATCTGATGTGATGAACTCAGTCTATTTTTCATTTTTCTGTCAACCGGCCCCGAGTCACGACCCCCGAATAACTTCCAAATAATGTACATAACTGCTGTGTGGGTCGTTGTGGCCCTTGAGGCCATCCTTGTCCTACGCACCATTTGTCAGTTACTTGACCCTGGGGAATAAGCAGCTGCCACCACCACCAATGGTCTAGGAACATAAACTGGTAGCGTCGAGAAGCTATTGGTCCGGTTACTGATGGAATCAGTGTCTGGCTTGGTGTTGATTACGATGGACTATGTTTGATTTAAATCGTAATTTGGTTACAACCAATCGCCATAGCTGTGTTACTTCAAGCCGTCTTCCTCATGTGAGCATTGCACACACTTTTCATTTTTGTGTCCACAAGTATACCTTCAGAGGGGTGTAATGTAAGAGTTATAATTATTTGTATTCATATATCTTGACTCTGTTCATTACCGTATCCACTAATATTCTAGGTCGTGGTTAAGGATCCTGAGCAGTTAGAAGCTATCCGCAAGCGAGAACTGGATATAACCAAAGAGCGTATCCAGAAAATTCTCGCTGCGGGTGCTAACGTGGTCCTTACAACCGGAGGCATCGATGATCTGTGTATGAAATATTTTGTGGAAGCTAATGCTATGGCTGTCCGTCGCTGCAAGAAGAACGATCTGAAGAACATGGCTAAGGCTACTGGTGGTCAAGTGATCGTGAGCATGTCCGACATGGAAGGTGAAGAAGTATTCGATGCGCAAAAGCTTGGCCGAGTACGTTAACACTTCTCAGTTATTTTTACTTTCTATTAACTTTATATTCCCTGATTTCACTCTTTTTTCCAAACAAATTTGTAGGCAGCAGAAATATCACAAGAGCGCGTATGTGACGACGAACTGATAATCCTCAAAGGGCCCAAGGCTCACCCGGCTTGCAGCTTAATTTTACGTGGGGCAAATGACTTCTATGTCGATGAAATGGAACGGTCTCTGCATGACGCTGTTTTGGTAAGCGCATCTTCCTCGTCATCTGCGTTTCGTCTAAATTTGTGCTAGCTTTCTTAGACGGTTGTTTTATGACAATGATAAAACGATTTTATAAACTACTTTTCTCGTTACCAATCTTTCGTCACCCAGGTAGACAGCTTGTAAGGTTGTGTTATGCTGCCAAACCACTCACTGTGATCGGTCGTGCAAGACAGCCTTCATCTCCAGTAGTCTGCATTTTGACAAACCGGCGTTTATAATGGGCAATATTCCGCGTTGTTTTTAATCACCTATTTTTCGTCTTTGGGTACAGCTTCCTCCACTTGTTTCACACTCGCAACGAGACTGGACCTTAACGTGGTGCGATGGCACGCGTACCTCCGTGACTCATTGAGCTATACTGGATGCTGCCTCCAGGCCCCTTGAGAGCTACCCCTACCATGTTGGTTAATGGTTAGAGGTCAGACAAACAGTCTCCTGGTCTTTCACGTTGGGGTTTGAAATTGGATAACGTCCATTTCTGTAAAACTAAGTCATTGCTAGCCCCACTCCCGCTGCCTTGCGGACAGACTTTTGAGCCAAAGGCTTTGGTTGAGTACCTTAATCATCCTCCTGTCTAGATCTGGACGTCTTGGCAGTATCTCAGCCCACATACAACCATGACAATTTCCCCAAACTCTAACCACATCCTGCATCAGCCGTCGCGCAGATTATCAAGGATCGCCTTATCTGCTGCATACATCAGGGCGGTTAAGCGAAACCATGCTATTGCTGGCGCCTTCCATCTTTCTTTTCCACCTGTTTCTCCTAATCCCATCCCGACCCCCATTACTAACCTTCTTTGTATAAACCAGTTTAATTGACAGCAGCTGCAATGCCACTGGAGTCCCGCCATCTGCAGCTACCTTCCCACACCACCCATCGGAGGCCTATCGGCAACAGTCCCTTATAAGGCCACGCTGTCCCGTTTCCCTGGCGGCTTTTAATGTTCGCACTCTAAGTCAAATCGGTCATCAAGCTGCACTCGCACGTACATTGGACTCACCAGGTATTGACATATGTTGTATGTCCGAAACTAGGATCAATGACCCTAATGGACTTGTTGAGTTAACTGCGCCCGGCTTGTCCTCTCGCTATTGGTTGCCCGCTTCCGGAGACGCCGATGCAGCACTCACGGGTCAAGCTGGTGTAAACATCATTCTAAGCTTCAAGGCTGAGTCACCGTTCGTTGATTAGATTCCGATGAATAACCGTTTGTGTGCGGCTCGTTTGACGACATCGACCAAGTTTGATTCATCAAGTAATACAAAACGCTGTTTGTTTGTGATTTCCGCTTATACTCCCACCTACTGCAATTCTACTGCTGTCAAAGACACATGCTATCACCAACTGAACGCACCACTATGCAGCGCGGGTGCGCTGATACACAATAAGGAGCGCCGGATGGCTCGTTGGGCGCAACACTTTCAAAATCAGTTCAGCTGGTCCCCTGCCCCCCTGAACCTCTTCCTTCTCAGGGGATGCAGGACGACCCATGGACAGTTTGTTTAGAGCCTCCGTCGGAGGCCGAGGTCCGAAATGCAATCACAGCTCTCAATTGTTTTCGTGCTGCTGGCCCAGATTCTCTCTCACCTGCACTATTTAAAGATGGAGGTGAGGTCCTCTGCAAAACACTGACCTCCGTATTAGAACATATCTGGAAGGATGAGTGTCCCGGCTAACTGGAGTGAATCGATTATAGTGGCAGTATACAAAATGGGCAGTCGCACAGACTGCTAACCACAAGGGTATTCGCCTAACACCAGTTGTGACAAAATTACTGACCTCGATTCTCGTTCGTCGCCTTACTGTGGAACGGGAATCTCGGATTAGGGAACAGCAGGCAGGCTTCCACCCAGGACGTGGCTGTATAGACCATATATTCACTCTGCGGCAGGTGCTAAAGCAGCGCCACGCATACCACAGACCGACATGGCTATGTTCCTCGATTTCAAGTGTGTGTTTAATTCAGTAGATCGATCGATTCTGTTCGAAATACTTGCGCGGAAAGGTGTTCCCGCGAAATATGTAACCATCTTACGTGCTTTATACTCAAACACTGCAGGCCGCGTCAGTGTCTGCTGTGACCTGCCGAATGGATTTCTAACCATAGGTGGCGTTCGTCAGGGTTGTCCGATTTCCCCATTTTTGTTCTATTTCGTCGTGGATTCTATCTTGCGGAATGTCACGATGCTGGCGTTAAACTCCTGCCTGGTGAAAGGTTCGTTGATCTTGATTATACAGATGATATCGTCTTGCTTTTCGACGATGTTGCGCCGGCACAATCAATCTTAAATAGCCTGTCTAAAATGTTCCCATTATTTGCTATGCGCTTCGCTCCCTCAAAGTACAAAGTGTTGCTGCAGGACCACCAGCCACTTGATGATCCCTTATCCTTGACAACGAGGAACCCGAGGTGGTTTATCGATTCACTTACTTTGGCAGTTGCATCAGTAACGATGTGCACACACTAACTAAAGTCAGTTCACGCATTGAAAAAGCCAGAACTGTCTTGAACCTGCGGCACGGTTGGTGACAGAAGGGAGTTTCTCCGTCTGAAGGGCCATGTATAGAAGTCCACACTGAGGGCCGTCCTGCTCTATGGTAGTTTGACTGCGCCTTCAAGTCTTTGACCATCGTTGTCAGCGAAATTTTGCTGGTGTTGGATGGCACCAGCGTGTCCGCAACGATGATATGCGTAGGCGAGTACTAGGTAGTGATAATCCTGCTAGCTCCTTAGTACAACAGATAGCCCTGAATAAGCTGTGTTGGCTTGGGCACGTGCTACGTATGCCCGGTCACCGCTTACCTAGGAGGGGTTTGTTTAATCTGCCAGATCTACAGTATTGAAAATCTCGAGGTGGACATAACTTGACTTGGCAGCGGGAAATGAAGTTACTGACAACCAAACTGTGTGCCCTTGATCCGTCTCCCCTTCCGGGATGGAGTCCACGTGCCCTGCTTTGTTTTTGGCTCGAGACTTTACAGGATTTGGCTCGCAACCGACAACGGTGGCGCGTTTGCTGTCGTCTCCTAGTCTGACTGCCTTTTTAAAGTATGTTTGGTGCTGAGCTATCTGCGGGGTAATGGCTGATCATGACACGAGGCAGTGAAAGCCGCAATGAAGCTGTCACACCCATGCCGCTTTAATTTGATTCGATAGCCAGCTGTTTGTGGCGGTATGTTGCTAACACAAAGTTTAGGCGCCTTGACCCTGAATGTTTGCTTAACATATTAAGGTTTTCCGGTGAGTTCCCCTTCCCTTTTTCCTATTATTCTTTGTTCCTTAGGTCATCATGGTTGTATGGCAGCGAAGCATCAGTTCAAATGACTGGTGTACTGCTGCTGTTGTTTTTGCCTCACTCGTTTATCACAACAAATAATCTTCCAATAATGCACTTTACTACTCGTGACATCAATTGACTGATTATTTTTTGACCTATTGGGTCGGCCACAAATATCCTCTACGTCATACTCTCGCTGCACCCCATTTGTACTCTATAAAGCGCACATCACATGGAGTGCGATGCAGGAAGATACCTCTAGCGGATCTCACTTCACATCGCCACCATTATTAGTGCAGAATTTACTAGGAGAATACAACGGACGATACGCCTAAAAAGCCATACTGAAGAGGTCAAAATGGAGTAAATTGCATCATCGGATGAAAAGATCAGCAGATTGCTGGTCTCTTGCGAATGCTTTAAATCATACCTCAGTGCAGTACCAGATGCCACCTGCGACTGACGTAGCTCATTCCGAGAACTTCCTTCCCAAGCAAACATTTTGGTCAGTGATTTAATCTGCTGCTGGCTCTGCGGATTTGTTTTCACATTCGTTGTACCTGTAGAAATTAAGTGCTCAGCTAGATACAGTTAACTACCATACTAAGGTTGAAATGCCGACAAAGTTCCACACCAGTCGGTTTGTTATTAAACACCAACCAGCATGCATTTTCACCACCCACCTGGTGTTCACAACAAATCGGCTTTGCTGCACAGTGACCGTTTCCGATCCACACACTACATCTGGATGTACCACGCGGGCCTCTGGTTATTTTGTCATCATCAGTAATGTTTATCAAACGTTCCTGTTTTCCTACATTACTGGTGATGTACAAACGGCTATTCCAGTTGAAAGTTGTTACAAGCTTTTGAACACTTTCTTACTATTTGGGATTTGTGTTTAATGCCACGTGTACCATTCGGGTCGATGCCACAGTATGTCTGACAGTGTTTCTTTTCATTTTTCTCGGGACATCTGAGCTTTATATTTATTCAACGTCGATATACGTGAAATCTGTTGAGTTTCTCTTGCGCTTCATATCCTTATCTTACGGCACCTCAGCGTCTTCCATCTGTTCTGCCGCTACTCACACATATGGTGTTCAATTGACTTATCTCAGGTGGTCAAACGCGTACTTGAAAGCAAAAGCGTTGTCCCTGGCGCCGGAGCTTGTGAAGCTGCGATATCAATATTTTTAGAAAATTTCGCCGTAACTCTGAGTTCACGGGAGCAACTTGCCATTGCCGAATTTGCCCACGCCATACTGTCTATTCCCAAACAATTAGCCGTCAACGCTGGCCTTGACTCAACGGAGCTCGTGGCTCGGTTACGATCATGTCACAGCTCTAGCCAGTCCGCAGAGGAACAAGCCTACTACAAGTGGTGAGTCACTTATCACCTTGCTCTACCGGGCGGTCCTCCACTGCTGTCTTGAACTGATTTTCTACTCTAAGCATGCCACTCACATTCCCCGAATTTGTTTCTGGTAATTAACAATATGACTCGTTTCTTCTTCTGGTCGTGGTCGCATGGCAGCGAAGCGCCGTTACGGCATGCAGCTGGTGATTGATTATTATTATTATTGTTATTATTTAAGCAATGTCATCGCATCGAATATCTCCCTACTTAACTTATCTAAGTGCGTTACCAAGTTTGTCTCTGCGTATGCATTAGATACTGTCCCCTACATCTCTGCAACAGACACCATATCTATTTCTTTCTTAATTTGACTGTAGTAATTAGCATTGCCATCTTTGTTTGTGGGATACCGAAGAACTGTCTCATTAGTGCCACGTTCAAACTAATGCCTGAAGCCTGATTTATCGTTTTTGCGCGTTGACATGATGAGCCGTCCGTCATTCCTATAAAAGTGCATAAGAGTCAGTTTCTACCTAAGTACAGTGAAACCTCCGAAGCTGACCACCTCTGTATCCTGAGCTCTCCAAGTTGCTATTTTTTCTTTCTTGAACCCTTACGAATCCACGCCTCTGTATATTGACCACTTTGGTCCAGTCCTTTGAGTGGTCAACTCACGGAGATTTTACTGTAATCTATCCATCTTTATACATCACGCGATTTGCTCTATCCTTTTTGTTACAGTATACCGTTTCGGTCCATTGAGTCTTAGCTTCCCCTGTCTTACACAACCCTCAATTGGCGCTGCACTCATAATTTACTTGTGTTCCTATCGTTTGCTCTCGGTTGCGCCTTTCCTCCTTGTCAACTGCATGCTCTTTCGGCTGCCACCTCCTGAAATGATAACGCAGCATAGCAAGATTTGTTAGCAGCAAGTGTCTATTTCGACTACATTGGACCTTTAGACTGTGTCGCGGTTTGCACAACACTCCAACCCATTGCTCTATATTCAGTGGTGTCTTCAGAGCTACTTCTATCAAATTGCTCTGTGGTTAAAGGTCAAACAAACTCAGTTTTATGACCCTTCAAGTGTTGCATGAATCCAGTAAAATAAACGAAAACCTACCACTGCTAGGGCTTTTTTTCCCGTCTATTCATCTTGCACTCCTTCCGATCCCTGTAACTACGTTTATCTGATCCTCGTCGGCCCGTAGCCTAGAGGTAACGAGCGTGTCTCCTAATCTTGCGTTGCGGATTCTAATCCGCGTAGGGGTGGGTGTCCTCGCGGTGTAGTCAGCCCGCGTGGTGGTCGCACGGCAGCGAAGCGCCGTTACTACGCACAGCTGACATTGTTATTTATTATTATCTGATCCTCAGTCTACGCGGGGACAGCCACACTATTAATAAACTATTAACGTTCGCACGCTTATCGTTGCAATACCCAGTTGGTACCCTCCTTCTTCACCGGCGAACTTCAACGTCCATTCCTTTAAAACAGTTGAGCCAATAAGCTGCACTTGCGCGTGCACTGAGTACTCTACATAATTTGATTTAGGAGTGCGAGGATCTCACACTGTCATCAGTTAACCGCACCTAACATCCTCTCGCTATTGGTGGCCTATTGGATTCAGCAATCACGGCTCAAGTTAGAGCCAGCGTGATCTTCAACTCCATGCTTGAATCCACGCTAGTTAATTTCCAATCCGCGGTCGCCCATCTACAGCCTCTCAGATAACTTCCTCCGTGGTAGGCATATGAGGCGGTTACTGACGCTATATACCGTGGTTACTGTCTTCTGCGGAACCAACTATGGTTCTGATTTCGGCCAGTAGTCTGGAGATTCGAGTGTCCCACTTGTAACACAGATCGGACCTGCTGGCCATCTCGTAGTATTCTTAATGTGCACGCGACTACTGGTTTTAGCTTGGCAGCAAGACGTTAATACGATATAACGACACACTGCTGCTACCATTTCCGCGATGCAGCTGAATGTATTTTTCTCCACGAATTTTCATAAAGTGGAATCACTTCACGTACACCCGATTATCTCTTATTCCCCCTCATAATCCCAGTTTCGTTTGTGCTCGTGTTTGTCCGATCCCGTGAGCAGCCCCGATCGCCCATTGTAACGATGAACAAATTGTTTGCTGTTTCTAATCCGCGTTATCTTCGGACATAACGAGTGCCAATGTATTACTTGACGTCGACTGACCTCTAGATAGCGTCAGCTCCAAATTACTCACACTTGCTGTGTTTTAGTTGATGCACTTCGGCTCCACTGTCGATTTGTCTTCGTTTGTACTGAGGAGCAAACAACTTCCTGGATTGACGACCATGAGTCTGTCGCCGACTACTTTCGGCCGATCTCACCGGTTGCCCCATGAAACCGCTTTATGCTCGAAAGACGTGCGGTTTCATTTGGATCGAGTCTTCGATCCCGTGTGTGAAACCGGGGGCGAGGGCAATCGTCTGCCTCAGTGCGCTCGATCAGGCGATTGATCGAGTGGACGAGTGCGTTTTTAAACACCCAGCTAATTGTCCAGAACCTCAGAATTGTGAATAGAACGCTAGTGTGCTGAGCCGGTGTGTCTTGTTTCTCTTGACGCGGCTGGGAGACCCAGACACGCAACACCGTGTACAACTAGTGAACTTCTACTTGTAATACCGGTGATCACCACCTCATCTAGTATCGTATATTTGGTGGCCTGTTTCACTCTTCAGCATCAGCAAGGTGTTTTTCCTTGGTTTCAGTCATAATATACCACATGTTTATTCTGGCTTTGATCGAGATACTACTTTTGAGCCGACCGAGAATTCTGGTACTCTTAGAGACAACAGCGGCGAGTAACAACCACAGGTTTATCCAGCATATCTGCAATGCCTATCCCAAGAACTACTCGGTCAGGATAAGCACCGGTACTCCGATTCACAATGAGGAATGCCACTTTTTCACTGAACAGAACCATTCCAGTAACTAATACTGGTTCCCTTCCTCCTAGTTGCTTCGTATTCAGGTGGCTTGGGTTGAAACGCCAACAATAGCTGCGTTCAGGTATTTCAACTTTGCTCTAGGACAAGTTGTTCGATTTGGTTTGGTGTACGTTTCTCGGTGTGTTCTCATGAATTACTTGCTATTTTTCTCCTCAACTTCTGCCCAATTACCTCTTGCTACGTCGGCCGTTTAATGCGTTTCTGACGAATAGTGGATTCACATGGATTGTCCTCTTTTTTCAACAATTTTATCGTGGATTCCACATTTTCATGTTTTCATCAAGTCTTACTATGCTGGTACTCAGGTCGAACTTGTGAGCGAACTGCTTGTTTCCCGTCGCAACGTGACTGGACCATAACGTGGTGCGATGGATTGCGTACTATTTCGAGCTATGGAGCCATACTGGTTAGCGCTCCCGGATCGATTGAGAGCTGCTGCTATTAGTTTTGTCGTTTGTTACAGACCAAACTAACTTAGTCTTCTGTTCCTCCAGATTCTGGATTGGTAATGAGATGGCCTCCGTTTCTATAAAACCGAATCCTTAACATATCCCGGTTCTTCGCCTCAGTAACACAGTCGGAAACATATTCTTATATCGTATTCTATTATGTTTTGTATCACGATTTTTCCTGAATCTTTTAATATTATGACATATTGGCTGAAGTGTGTTTCTCACTTTCAGCGAATGTTTAATGTATGTATGTATGCAGCTTGTGCCCCATGCTGAGGCTTATGTTTCATTCATCATGCTTCTTCACTGCAGTTTTGCTAGACCAACTTCCACTTAAACTAAGTCTTTTTAAGCTGGATACATTTCATTCCACCTTACTTGGTTCTCTCAGCCTACCTGAATAATCTTCTATTAAATTGCATTCGTTGCTTACGCTAATTGTCGTTAACTTCGCGTTTGTGGCAATTTTTAGTAACTTGTGAACAGTCTGTACTTATCGCGGATGTGCTGCTAACCAGGTTACTTCATTTGCTAATTTGGCGAAGAGTTATGTCGGCATAGCCGTATGCCTTAAGAGATATATTTTATTGGATAATGTCTTTTCAAGTGATTGGCTGTTGTTTGACATCCCTGGTGTGGCTGCGCTTGATGGGCATGTTAACAAGGTGCCTGTTTGTCTATTACCCACTACCTTGTCCATACTGGTTCCAAAAGACTGTTGGTCGGGGTTGGGGTACAGGCTCCTTGTGGCCGTGTTAGTCTGAAAGAGTGGTTCCATACACTCAGGGTGGAGCGAACCACGGTCCAGCCACCGCATTGTGTACGGTTGATTCCTAAATACAACGTGCTTGTGTTTGCCTCTGAAGGAGTATGGACCGGCTCTGTTGATGAAACGTGGCTCCCATCCACATGCCTCCCGGTCTTATTCTTTCGGGTTTACACTGGATATGGGGTGTGTGGTTGGTACAGCGCAAGCCACCCATGGTCCCTCTGTAAGCGCAGGCGTCCTGTGGCTGGCCACAGTGACAATCAAATCCGAATCCGGATGCCCACGAGCATGTGCCTCATGCGGTGCTTGATGTTCCATACATCATACTTCTTCAATGCAGTTGGTGCAGTGCCGAACTGCACCTAAGCTTGATCTTCTAACTTTAGACAGATGGTACTCAGCTAGCTTATCCAGTCAACTGCTTCTAGTTTGCAAACCTCAGGCATTCCTTTATCACTGGTGACACGATCATAAGTGCTGGAAAGCATTTACAAACCCCATGAACACAGCTACACACGCTTGCTTACACATATATGCATACATATCTCAACATATGTGACAATCTTATTGTTCCATTGTACATTAACTGACCACATTTTCTGCTCTTATTATGATCATGTCTGTGCACGCGTGTCTCGAGTAGTCGAGAATTTGCTCAGTTCTACTGTTCTTCTGCATAACCCTTGTTTATTTTCCATGGAATTCTTCGTTAGTTGTTTGAAGTCCCCGGTGTGGCTGCGCTTCAGGTGAATATTGACACGTTGCCTACCTGTCTTACATCGTCCACCTCGATTGTACTAGATCCATGAGACTGAATCGTTGTTGGGTGACGGGGGACACGGTCCTCGTAGCCGTGCTAGGCTCAATGAGTGATTACATGCACTCGGTGGGGAGCGAACTGCAGTCCAGCCACCGCCTTGTGTTCGTCTGGTACGCACGGTTTCTCAAATAGGCATTAATGCTTTTGCTTTGCTTGTTGAATTAGCGTGAGCCTGCTGCATTGATGAAATGTCGCTTCCATCCACATGCTCCTTTTCTTATTCCTTCGGGTTTACACTGGATACTCTGTGTGTGCATGGAGCTGTGTGTGATGCAACGCAAACCGCCCATTGTCCCTTAGTAGGCGCAGACGTCCTGTGGCTGTCTTATGGACGCTGGAGTGACAAGCAAATCCGGAATCGGATGCCGTTAACCATGTATATGCGAGTACAACTGCTTATCGCTTTGACTTGGTGGACAACAGACGTGGTTTCCTGTTATCCGATAAGTTGACCGTTTTTTTTCACTCATTTCCATTATGATGTTCCTACCGACAGACTTCTGTTGCCATGGCCTTTGTAGCATAACGTAGTCAACTGTATGCTGGGACCACTCCGATACTGCTCTCCATGTTCGGATGCGTTCTTTAATTATTACCACTGCTTTTTGTCGTATTCATCTCTTCCCACTGTTCTCCGGATCTTGAGTATAGATTTAAACGAAACAGCATCACAGACTGCATCGCAAACCTTGATCATTGTTTGTTATATAAGCACTCAGCATATATTAGCTATTTTCATCGATGTGTTGCTTGCTTTTCGTAGTCCTTCGGCCCTTTTCATATTCGATTTATTGTATGCTAGGCTCATCTGCTTTACGAGCCTGAATGTAACTCTTTGATCTCATCTTAGCCATTTTCTTTCCTTTGGTTCAGGTACGGTTTAGATTTGGATAACCAGCGCATCGCCGATTGTCATACCTTAGGTGTTTTTGAGCCCATGGTGTCGAAAATCAAGAGCCTCAAGTTTGCCACTGAAGCAGCGATAACCATTTTGCGCATCGATGATTTTATTAAACTACGCGAAGAAAAGGAACAGAGCCATCCCTACGACGATGAATACTAGGAAATAATGCTGGTCGATCTACTACTCTAATTCAACTTCCATTTTTAATGTTACTAAGCGTTGTATCTAAATTGTTTTGACCAACTTTGTTTTTTTCCGCCTACATTGCGCCTATTTGTTAATCGCCACTATCGGATTCTGGAATATAGTTAAATCGAACTGGCCTACGTTTTGGACCCAGTGAACCATCAACCTTTGCTCTATGGTCGTTAGGCCATACTCTGCTCGAAGAATTTGTTTGAATGATAAGTTGTGTGCTGGGAATTCATGAATCGAATGCATCTTCCGTGATCTCACGCTGCAGATGTTCATTTCGCAGATTCCTTCCCAAAGATATGCTTGCGGACCCTGCCTGAAGAAATCTGGTTGGGATTTCTTCGACATCACATCGGAAGGGACTACAGCTTAGTCCGCCCTCCTATCACACGCATTTTGCTGATACATGGCGTCGACAGATGTTAATTGTTTTTTCCGATACCACGAACATCGAAGCCAGTTTCCAACTGAAATCTCATTCCCCATTCGAACTATTACTCCAAATTCACTGTTTTCAGCGAAATTAACGGGGGCTACAATTCATGTGATTACGATATGTCAACTCTACCACTTTTTAGGTAACACTTCTGTCGACTTCAGTGGCTTCATCGTCAGTTTTCGCGGCACCCATTCCCGTTCATTTCTTTTCAAGGCCATTGAGACTGGTAGTTATGAGATTAGGTGATGCAGCAATGACGTTTCTGCGTCACAAAATGCATCGGTGGACCTTCATAGCTGGTACCTATAACCCGTTGGGTTCCTCAATTTCTTCACTATTTTGGAAACATGGTAGCAACTAACACCCACATTCCAGCTTCGGGGCTTGCCTGTTGCTCTCTTCGTAGAGAGTTCATTGGGAAAACCATTACAGTCCTTCGTGCATTACCCATGTTAAGCCTAGCAAATGTACACCCAATTCCCTACTCATAATCTCGTGTTATATCGATCCCAAATTCCTGCACTTCACTTCTTGTGTCAATGGGCACCTTAGTCAATGTCGTTTAACAATACGTGTGTAGTAGAGGAGTTTATAAGGATTTTTGTGAAGATTCGTCGCAGCTAGGCTCAGGCAGGCAGCCACTACACCCATCGGGATTCGGCGGGGTGCGCAACTCACGTGCTCCATAGGGCGAAACGGCCGTCTAGCGCATTCCTGGATGTGTACTTGCTGTCTTCCTGAGTCATGCTGCGACGAATCCTCAAAACCCGATAAATCCCTACTGCTTACGAATAATCAGTAGTCACCTTAGCATTTTACATGTCACTTCGATTGCTGGCGGCTTGCAAAGGATGTTGTGGCTCTGGGGCCCGCCCTGTCTTATGCACATTCATAGCGTGCATGATGGTGGAGAATGGGCTGCGCTATATCGCAGTTAGCTATCAGTCATGGCGGTCCGCAGCCGTCGCCCATGGCTCAGTGGCATAAGTCGCTGGTTCGTAGGAGTTAAGTCTTGGGTTCGAATCCAGCAGAATTCAGAGGGTCTGCGCTACTGACGATTCCCAATAGGACCAAACGGCCGTCTAGTGCTTTCCTGGATGTGTGCTGGCTGTCTGCCTGAGTCTAGCTGCGATGAAGCTTCACCAAAATACGTTAGCTATACAACCGGAACCACGTTAACGTTCCCAGTGCTCGGAATGGCGGAGCTTGACTTCAGCGTCAACCGAGACCTCAATTGAGATTGCGTATCGAAATCCAAGACACGGCAAGTACTCCAGGACCTAACAATCAACTTGCAACTGCTGTGTCTTGCGGTGTTCATGCATCTCAATGGCCTCATGACCATGACGATAGCCGCCGATCTCTGTTTGTTATGTCCAAACTTGGACGAAACGCGTCGTGGAGTGTAGTGATGTGAGAGAGCAATACCGAAACCCTGCGCTTCGGATACGATCCTAGTGATCTGAATGGTAGAGCTCGGGGTCCGAATCAAAGGAGGCCACAATTGAGATTTCGTATCGCAATCCAAGACCCGATAAACATAAACCATATTTCCTCACCAAAGCTCTGATGAAGCGAACCACCACACTTTAAGCCTGTATCTGCAGTCTTTCCTACCCATGTCCGGCAGCAACTTTGATGCGATAATAGATGTACATAGCTGCCCTGATTATTAAGTGGACATTGTCAGTGTGTCACGAATCATAACCGTGTTGCGCATGATGAGTTGAAACATGACTCGACCTTAATAGACTAGCTGTCTTTGCTGACAGACAGTCGCCTTGGCCTATGTTGAACACCGTCTGTTGTATGGTTGACACTTACTCTTATACTTGGAAATGAAGTTAAGGCGTCAATAAACTGGTCGTTATATTCTCATCCCATTTACTTCGAAACTACTCGTATGATTGTGCTAAGACTCATGAGAGCCGAATAAACAAAAGTCTCTATTGGGAGCACGCCGGTCAAGTACTTACTCTTCATCAAATCTTAAAACCCTGCTGCAAGCAACACATGACAGTTGCGTTCTTCAATTTGAAAGTAACGCCTGATGCTTTTACTGCGGCTGCTTCTTTTAGATGCTCAGGATTAAACGATGTCTCCGAGAAATTTGTATATATTCTTTAATCTGCAATATAATTTCTTAGGTTATCTATGGATCAACGAAAACTCATTACAAAAGTTGGATGCCTCGAAGTTTGTTGGTCGCTCTAGATCTCTTCGTAATGGGTTTTAATGCCTGCTATGCATTTTCGTTCCTCGGGAGCGTTCTTTGTTACATACTAAACCGTGAAACATAGAATATCCAGATAACGGTTCCTTTTGAATCGGGTTCATCTGCTTTCTGTCTACAACGGAATATCCACGTTGTGCCCCGCAGCCCTTACTCTGCGTCTTCGGAGTGCAAACGCCTACCACAAGACGACTGAATTATCTCCAACCTTCCTTACCCTCGAGCAAAGTGATTGATCGGTTACGTCTCTGGTTAGCCATGTCACGCAGCCGAAGTGGTTGTTGCACATCTTATTAAAACTCATGTACTGTTCCAATGCTTCTTTTACTTGTAATGACGATAGGACGTCAGCTTCTTAGTTGACGGATCGGTGTACAATGTTGCTTCGTGTTCAGCGTTATTGCATGATGACGTCCAAGTACTTGATATTCGGCCTTCTATGTCTGCGAAGTATTGCTCGTGTCAGGCGTGGGTATCAATTGACTGATGTTGAATTTCGTCCTTTAATGTTAAGGTGTGTCTGTTAAACTCAAACCAACCACTTTGTTTATTACACGTTCTTCGCATGCCTTTTCACTGATCGCTTTATTCTTAATTTGTTAGCTGATATTGCGCCTTAGGAGGGTACCCAGCTTGCCATTCGATATCATTAAAAGAACATGGAGCAACTTCACAAAGTACTTAATGCGGTTACCTCTTATCTTCCTTGCTGGGGCCTTAAGGTTTGCCTCATAAATCATTAGATACCCAATCCAACATGGTGCATTCGAACTAAACGACTTCGCGTTCGTTCTTGCGACTATCACCTGTTCCATCAATCGGCTTTCATGTGTTCCCGGTCTCCTTGAATTATCATTATTCTTCACAATTACTGTAAGCGTCAAATCGCTTGAAACCCTTTGGCAAACCAGAAACAAGCTCGCGCCTTCTAATAGCAACCTTAGAAGCAAAGCGCCAGCGCGATTGGACACGACCAAGGCAAAGCTGACAAGTCTGATGGAGACACACTCGCCTTATGCCGGTTGTGGAGAATCTGTCCCTATGTTGTCGTATAGTCTTCTCAGTATTTTGTCAGGGACTTATCATTCACACGAAAGAAATTTGTCGAAAGCGCCTAATGAAATCCCTCATGGAAGCAAATAACCAAACCGTGCTCTCGATAAGTGCGCCTTGAATATGTAAGGTGTACAACTTGATGATATGCAAATGGAAGCGCTAGCCTTGGGGATCGATTATAAAATTACTCCTAATAAGCATGTGTTGATTATTTGCTGAGGTACTGGTTGTGAATTTTTTCGACCAAATAGCTAAACTTCAGTCAACCAGCCATGAGGCTGTCAGTTGGTTTAGGAATAAACTGACCGACGTTACTCATGAAATCCTTGTAATACCACTAAACGAAAGTGTGCGATTGCAATTCGTCATTTAAAAGCGCTACGAGAGCTGAAGAATAAGTGAATGATTGTACTAAAACCGGACAATGGTTCAGGAGCACTTGTCATGAACGAGGGCGATTACGTACAAAAAATGCTAAACGTTCTAAGTGACTAAAGCAAGTCAACGCACCGACCGGATGGAAAGTCTGACAGAGGTAGTGGCTCGTATAACCCGACACCTTAAAACACTTCTCCTACCTCGTGTAGTTGACGAAACCACCTACAAGCACTTGAAGCCGAGCTGCTCATCGACACCACAGCTGTACGGATCACCAAGGACGCAAGCAGAACATGCCACAAACACCCATTTTGTCGATGGCAAATTCCCCGCAGCACAAATTAACTAAATAATGCTTTATTTCCAGTAGCTCGGGGCACGCCCGCGAAGGCATGATCATGATAAACAGGTATGCTCGGTAGTTGTATAAAAATGTGGCAAGTTACGCAGTAACATACTGCATATATATGTGTATTTTTAGTGGGCATGGTGAGTGCAGTTTGCAGTGTGACTGAATTGGTGAGTTTGCTGTGTTCGCCATCGTATGAATGGATCAAACGAACTCTTCTAACTAGATGATGTTCATGTAGTGAGGATCCTCCGGAAGGGGAATTTGCAGACTTTATTTAGTGGCGGGTCACACGCCACGTCGCGGTGTTGTTAAACGGACCTTTGTGGCTGTTTATAAGAAGAACGCTTGCTAGGCGAAGACCCACCACGCCCTGGAACACTGTCGCCGAACTATTCGCTGGAATGGGATTAGTCGAGGGATTACGGGGACGGACGTACCCCGAGCGTCTACTTAGTTTGGGAATGCATTCAATGCACTACCGAAGGCTTAGAGGAGACCTAATCCTAACCTACCGTATCTTGACTGGGAAGGTTGGTCCAGATTTGTCTTGGCTATTCAGTCCCGCTAGATTGTCTGTTCTACGCGGTCATTCGTTGAAGCTGGACAAACCGCGGTCCGATCGGATTAGGGCGGAAATCCGGCTGTCACGCCGAGTTATCGACCGCTGGAACATGCTTCCGGAAAGTGTTATCAGGGAATCTACGGTTAAGGGGTTTGAGCGGCAACTTGACGCTCTTGGGTGGCAACACGAAACCTTTCCATTTTCCTGAGTAACTCACATCTTCGTACTTCGATTTTCTTTTCTCTACTTTTCTTCACGTATTGGTATTATTTTCTTATTTAAGTGCACTTCCCTATTCTGTACCTTCGATTTCTCTTCCTATCCTTTGCTTACTTCACGTGACTGCCACAGCAGGGACTGCTAGGGCAGGAAACGTGGGCATTAACTGGTTGGCCAGGGTGCGATACGGGTGTTTCCGTTTTAGATCCATCAATAACTGAGCACTTCATCAATTCCTGGCTCAACGATCCACTCAAGATGGAACACTCACGGGATTTTCCTATCGTTCCAGTCCCCATCTGAACTGAACTGAACCCGAATCACCCAGCTGGCACCACGTGGAGGTTGTTCGGCTAGCCAGATGGTTAGTTCGGATCCTTGCACCACTGAGGCAGCACTTTTGAAATAATCGAAGACCAAGACTAAATAACCCTAGCCGACAACGTTACGTCCTCAGTGGACGTCCAGTCGTTATTTACTAGTCCCTTTGCTAGAGACAGTTGAGTGCATTTGCCACCTGATAGAAGAGAATAATTTCCGTCTGCCAATACCGGCAGACCTGAGACATTCTTTGTTACTTTGTACGGAGAATGTCCCTTTCCGATTCCAGCACACTTCATATCGACAAACTGAGTGGCTATGAGTAATCCTGTACTGGCTGGTTTTTTCCTGCTGGTGCTTGAAAGGAAACTGAGTGGAGAGATTTCTCAACTGCCGTATTACAAACGATATGTAGATGGTATCCTTGTTTTCGGTTCCACGAGGATGCAAATCGAGCGGTTAGTAGACA